TCGCAGGGCTGAGAAAGAACATCGGGCGGGTAGCCGAGGTGATGAACGTCGACATTATGCCCAGTCGTACGCATGACCATCCATTCACCGCGGAGATAATGGCACCCCTTCTCCCCGACAAATACAGGTCGTCGTTGATTCCGCCTTACGATGGACGAGGAGATCCCGACGACCATTTGGAAATGTACACGGGGCACATGCTCTTGCACGGGTACGCCGAGGAGATCATGTGCCGAGCCTTTCAGAACCACCTGACAGACTCTGCCCGAAGATGGTTCCGAACGCTGAAGCCAAACTCTATCTCCAGCTGGGATGAACTGAAGGAAGCATTTTCCCTCCAGTTCATCGGGGTTAAAAAGTATATACCCCCGAAGCAGAACCTAACAACGATATATCAAAAGCCAAATGAGACGTTAAGGGAGTGGCTCGCCAGATACGGCGAGGCCGTCGCCGCTACAATGGATATCACGGACAGGGAAGCCCTGATGGGAGCATTATCCAGTATGAAGAAGATAACTCCCTTCAAAAGGGAACTAAACCGAAAACCCCCTTCCAGCTACAAAGAGTTCCTTACAAGGGCGCAAGGATACATCAATGCTGAAGAAGCGGATGCCAACGACCCCGATCATAGGTCCAATAAAGGAAAAGGAGCCGAGCAGGGGTCGGCATCATCAAAGCAAGACGGGAAGAAGCGTCGAGGAGGAGGAAGTGGAGAAAAACAACCGATCCCGACGCAAGGAACGTCGGAGGCCAAGAAGCGAAGACAGGAAGATACCCGCAGACCTCGACCGTTCCAGAAATATGACACCTACCATGAACTGACAGTAGGCGTCGAGGAAATCTTCAACCAGGTCGGCCGAGGAAACTTGCTGCGCCGACCTGGACCAATGAAGTCGGATCCTAACCAAAGGAACCAGAAGAAATTCTGTAAGTTCCATGGCGAGGTCGGCCACCACACGAATGATTGCGCTGACCTCAAAGATGAAATCGAAAGAATAATCCGCGAGGGAAGGCTGCAGGAATTCAGGGCCGAATGATGACCCCGCAACAACGGCCATGGCGGGCAAAATGACGACCGACGCCGAGAGGAAAACCACCGCCCGGAAGATCGGGAACCAGTCGGCGTCATACGAACGATCCTCGGCGGCCCCTACATAGGAGGAGACACGCGGAGGTCGCAGAAGGACTACGCCCACGAGGCTAAGGGGGTATACCAGGAAAGGTTCTAGAACGTCTCCGACGTAAAAATCCCGAGGCAAAGCCGCACTGACGTGGCCTTCAATGAGGATGACGCCAGCGGAGTCCATTTCCCCCACAACGACGCACTGGTGGTGGAAGCAGTGATCGGAAACCACACTGTATGTTGAATCTTGGTGGACAATGGAAGTTCGGTGGATCTCCTGTATTCTGATTGCTTGGAGAAAATGGGGATCTACGAGGGGCAGTTGGAAAGAACCACCAGGCCGCTGTACGGGTTCACGGGAGACTCCGTCATTCCTCAAGGCACTATCCGACTACCTATAACAGCCGGAGAAAAACCCCGACAGGCAACAACGATGGCCAACTTTGTGGTCATCAAAGGAGGCTCCCAATACAACGCAGTAATTGGGAGACCAACTCTCCAGGCATTAAAAGCAATAACCTCCGTCTACCACCAAAAAGTCAAATTCCCCACCCCAAATGGCGTAGGAGAAATTAAGAGCAACCAGTACGAAGCCAGGGTCGCATACTCCGATGCCTTACGCGGATATGACCAGCCGGGCAGACAGGAAACGAGGATGGTTCGACAAGGCCTCGTTGAGGATATAGACCCCCGGGTCCAAGAGGAAATTACTTGGTCTCAGCCCATCGAACAGTTGGAAGAGATCCAGATTAACGAAAGCGGAACCACCAAAATACTAAAAATAGGTTCGGACTTGA